ATTGAGCTTATATGTTTTGCTCTTATCTTAAAACTAAGAGAGTAGTACTAGGTTGCATATATATAGCGTACATAGATTCAAATGCCCCCTCCCTTCTTCCCCATCAGTATAAGGAGGGAAGGGAGGGGGCATTTTTTAACGCATTTTTCAGATTCGGCCGTGTCTGTCCCGAACGCATCAGGTACCAAATACGCGCGCCCCACGATCGCCCCTAGCTTGACAGGTATTTTACAAGATTCTCTTTCGGCGCTTATTTCGCTCCGGCAACCGGAACCTAAAGCGGACATAGAGCCGCTAATTTACGCGCTAGGCGAGCTTGGGACGTCCTTGTACCAGCGGCTGACATGAATAAAAATCTCGATGGAGCTTGACGTCATTTTCCTTGACATTGACATTTCGTAACATGCGGTTTGGTAGGATAGAGAATGCCTTACTATATAGTGGGGATATCGCGCTGTAGTGTAGAGTGAATTTGCAAAGAAGGTAAATCAGACATGAAATCTTGTACGGTTTTCTATTGAAAACAACCATACATGCATGATTTCTTCTATACACGTATTTATCTCATGCATACAAGCCAAGTGTTTGAAAATCACCAAGTACTTATATAGTACCTATTTTTTACAAATCGCGGGACATAATACTCCCTAAAGACTGCTAAACTGGTGGGAGACTTCAAATCCATTCGTGAAATTTTTATATCATTGACTCATATGAGTTAATAAAATAGCAACTGTTCAATATAAGCTGGATTAAGCCCAGGTCAACAGATTAAAACCTTAAATGAGCGACAACCCCAGCAATTGCCGAGTCTGAGACAAAGAAATTTCAATAGAGACGATGCAGGGAAACCGCAGCGTGGGAGGACGTCATTCAATAAAAAATAATCGTCCTTACCAATTGAGGAAGCAAGTGCACAAATTTTATAGGAATAAATCTTCCCAGCACCCCGTCCGATAACTAATTAAAGGTCAAACAACATTTTTTCCCTGCAATTTTCAACGGCTAATTTCGAGTTAAAACGTGGACTCTAAAAATCAGAACCCTTTCAGAATATTGTGTTTTTTTTTTTTGCAACAATACTTGATCGTGACAGCGAGCCTGAACCCGCATTATTTATCTTGTGCAAACTTATTGAGGATGAACGCCGTAAATATGACGCACGACGATGACCACATAACTTGCGCGTTGAACAAGAATATAATTATGATGTCCATAAATGAAAATATAATTTATTTGACGGACAGAGATGCTTACAAAATTTGCTGTACCGTTTGTTCATGACAAGCTTAAATATTCGTATGTTATACTGATAAACTTAACTGAAGATTTTCAATGTTTCAAATTTCATGCCTCGTTACTTGAAACAATTCATAGCGTCTCTGCGTCGAACTGAGACGCTATGTGCCAAGAAGAGAGACGCTTGACGTAGTGCAGAGACGCATATATAGTGTGGCGGATGGCAGAGAAGTGGTGCAGAGACGCATAATGTGGGGGATGGCAGAGAAGTAGTGCAGAGACGCTATAGTGGGGCTGATGGCAGAGAAGTAGTGCAGAGACGCATAGTGGGGCGTATGGCAGAGAAGTAGTTCAGAGACGCATAGTGGGGCTGATGGCAGTAGTGTCCATGGCAAGCCAAAGGGACTAGCGTCCATGGCAGGCCTAAGGGACTAGCGTACATGGCAGGTCAAAGGGACTAGTGTCCATGGCAAGCCTAAGGGACAAGCGTCCATGGCAGGTCTAAGGGACTAGCGTCCATGGCAGGCTAAATGGACTAGTGTCCATCGCAAGCCAAAGAGACTAGCGTCCATGGCAGGCCTAAGGGACTAGCGTACATGGCAGGTCAAAGGGACTAGCGTCCGTGGCAGGTCAAAGACACTAGCGTCCATGGCAGGCTAAAGGGACTAGTGTCCAAGGCAAGCCAAAGGGACTAGCGTCCATGGCAGGCCTAAGGGACTAGCGTACATGGCAGGTCAAAGGGACTAGTGTCCATGGCAAGCCAAAGGGACAAGCGTCCATGGCCTGTCTCTTATACACATCTAGATGTGTATAAGAGACAGGCGTATGGCAGAGAAGTCGTGCAGAGACGCATAGTGGTGCGGATGGCACAGAAGCTTAGCGTTGATTAATGGATAAATACAAAACAATGTAAAATAAAATAAAATATGAGAAACGCTCTGTTTCCTGCGACCACGAGAATGATCTCGCAATGTCCCCTGCTCGTTGTTTATTCTTAAACTGCTTCGCTACGCTTCTTTTTGTGTTATAGTTGATGAATTAAACCTTGATGTTCAAGACATTATTAATAACAAGTGCTTGTGATGATGCCAGCTCCGACAGCTCGTCGGAGTAGTTGATTGATAATTCATAGCAATGCGCTCGCAAATTATTGTCAAGACACGACGATAATTAAATGTTCTATCGCCCCAACTTCAAATGAACCATTTAAATTGCCAAGCCTTTGCGCTGGTCCATATTATATTATATAATCGAGCATCAATTTACAAACATGTTATATGAATGTCAATGACGGATTCGACGAGTGAGTGAATTTCAAACTCCGTTTTGAAAGCATGGCATAAAGCAAAGAATATTGCATTGGTAAGGGTGACCCTTCAGCTCTGTGATCCAAGTTTTAAACAGGATATAGGCATGGGAGCTGGCTTCACTAAGAGACGTTGGAAACTTATAATTTGTAAAGAATTTACATGGTAATCTTTTCGTCAGAGTGTAATGCGATGTTCTTATATATTATTCATGACTAGAAGGATGGATATATCAAGAATATGCAAAGTATTTGTCCATAATCAAGATATTTCCATTTATATTCATATCGGACAAAAGGAAAACTTTTCTGATTGCTCAGTGCCAATACGAACATATTAATCTGATAAAATAAAATAATAAAATTACCTTATCATAGTTTTTTTGCTGATTTTCATGGTAAAAGCCACGAGGAATAGAGCAACTATGCGTAACATGTAGATCCCCTCTGTTAATTATAGAATTTTATGGCGCTGAGCAGTGATGAGCGTCGAGGCTGATACTGTAAAGATGAAGCTCAGTCTGTAAACCATCGTAAGGTATATGTTTATCGGATACGCTTGGAAGTTTTCACATCACATTTTTATGTGATCTTATGATCTTTCTCTTATGTAATTCTGTAAAAAATATCCCCTTACACGTTTCAGTAATCTGGTTCTAATGCAGTACTTTCAGAAAGTGAAAATGTTACGACCTGAGTGAAATATACGAATATGAAAGTGAAATATTAATATGCGAAAGTTTCATGGTAATGGCAGTGAAATATGAATATGGGAGAGAATTATGAAAAGGGAGCAAAATGGGAAAATGGAAAATGGGAGTGAAATAACGTAAAGGAATTTCACAATTTTGTACGCATTCAGCAAACCCAATCCGACGCTCATTTTCGACGAAGTTAATCGTCTATTTAATAAATTAATTAATAATTAATATTATTTCAGTTTCCGGGCAACGAATTTTCTTGAATTTTTAAAGCTTTTAACTTAGGCGAATAAAATCTTTCTTAATTATCCAGTTTTTGGCTCAGATTTACACTCTTGTAAAAGGCCGATACACGGCAGATGAAAAATTCGGCTCAGTTGGAAATTGTTGGGCCTACAAAGTGGTAATTATTTTTAACGTTTGAATGCAGAGTTTTTTTAGAGCATAGATATTGGTGCGCTTTGATTCAATCTACCGGATTCTTTGAGTCCGACTTGGCACTCCGCTGCCATCGAAACGAAATCGACGGGCGCTAGGATTGCCTTTTCGCGTTATAGTTTCCCTGAAAAGATATTCGACTGCACGGCCTTATTAATCAACGAACAAAATATTCTGAGTGTGTCCCGTCAGGTGATCTGGATTTTATTGAATAATTTCCCATAGCTGCACTGTTCGCGGTTGACAAATTTGAGTGAGGAAAGTACCAGGTATATTTATTGCGACTTGTATAATAATATAAACAATAACAGCGGTTTCAGGGGCGCTGATTCTTAACATCGCAGGACATTCACAGCTTGTTGCGGTCTCGAACACACTAATCACTGTGTGAACGAATGAGAATCGTTCACGGTCTTTTTAGGCCTTTTTACCAATTTCAATTTTGTTTGAGCTAGGTAATATATTATTCTACATGTATGGGTTTTTTAGCGAGGCCGGTTAAGTAGCTTAGACTTCCGACCCTTTCAGGGAAGATTTGTCTCAGAGAGAGGTGACGAGGGCGATTCCTTTTATATGAGACAGCAGTTGTGTCCTGCTAGCCGATCGGTTAAGTTGCTGCTCTGACCTTCCTAGTGGTAGCTAGTAACTGCCGATCTGGCATGAAGCTTTTTGTCTTGCAGTGAGCCCTCTCCCTGACTGAGCTGATTAATTATTTGCCATGTGTCTGTGCTGCTCGTTACTGTGACCTTAAATGTAGAGTGCCCATTTTAAAGTGCTTATTGGAATAAACGTTTGAAACTTCAGTGGTGAACTGGAAAGCTGTGTTTTCATTATCGATTCTTTGAAACTAGCTTTTTAATAAGTTCGTGGCCAGCGTGCAACCTTAGGCGGCCATCCGTTGAAGCTAAGGTAGTGAACGTCCGGTCACAACTGTTTCAATACTGCTGTGCTAAACCACCCGACCACTGAGCCACTCTGAATATGAATGTTAATAAATGATAAGAAATGTCATTAAAAGCACAATCTATGATTGAAATAAATAGATACGAGTAAGCAACAAGATTTTCAGGCAATGTGATTTCTTCCCATTAAATTTTTGCGTACATTTTAACTAATTTATACTATTATACAAACTTCATATTATCTTTAAAATCATGGTTTCACATTTGGATGCAACATAAATAACTGTTAACAACTATCGGATGCTGAACACAAAAGATCACCAGATCTGGAAGCCCGATGCCTGCAAAGGTTCTAATGCTTGCACTGACACATCAATCAGTGGCTCAGAGAAAGGGTAGAAACGCACAGCGGTCATGAGCAGAGACGAAAGCGGGGCGAAGAGCAAATACGCTGACGGCGTCGAGCAGAGACCCTATGTGACGAGCAGAGACGCTATATGTGTTCCGAGCAGAGACGCTATGTGCCGAGCAGAGACGCTATGTGTGTTCCGAGCAGAGACGCTATGTGACGAGCAGAGACGCTATGTGCCGAGCAGAGACGCTATGTGTGTTCCGAGCAGAGACGCTATGTGACGAGCAGAGACGCTATGTGCCAAGCAGAGACGCTATGTGCCGAGCAGATCGAGACGCTATGTGGCGAGCAGAGACACTATGTGCCGAGCAGAGACGCTATGTGCCGAGCAGAGACGCTATGTGTCGAGCAGAGACGCTATGTGCCGAGCAGAGACGCTGTGTGCCGAGCAGAGACGCCAAGTGACGAGCAGAGACGCTATGTGGCGAGCAGAGACGCTATGTGCCAAGCAGAGACGCTATGTGCCGAGCAGCGACGCTATGTGCCGAGCAGAGACGCTAAGTGACGAGCAGAGACGCTTTATGACGAGCAGAGACGCTATGTGCCGAGCAGAGACGCTGTGTGTCGAGCAGAGACGCTATGTGCCGAGCAGAGACGCTATGTGCCGAGCAGAGACGCTATGTGCCGAGCAGAGACGTTATGTGCCGAGTAGAGACGCTATGTGCCGAGCAGAGACGCTGTGTGACGAGCAGAGACGCTATGTGACGGGCAGAGACGCTATGTGACGAGCAGAGACGCTATGTGCCGAGCAGGGACGCTATATATATGCCGAACAGAGACGCTATGTGACGAGCAGTAAGCCGCTTGGCGTTAAACAGAGACGTATCGCGAGCGTGAGCAGAGGCTCACAGCAGAGAGAGGGTGAAAGTGTCAGAGATGCGAGCTACTTGCCATGACTGAAAGATTACCAGCGCTTCATCAGCCAGATTTAACGCTTACCCAAAGAAAGCTTGGTCAGACCAAGCTCACTTTGACACATGGCACCGCAGGAACATTAAAGTGTTTCCTACTCAAGACTAATAGAATTTGGAATTTTAAGAGAAAATTCTTTTTTGCAATAGCGTAGTGAACGCACGTAAGTTTTCACTCAAGTAGGTGAGTGAGACTAGGGTCAACATGACAGGGGTAATGAATGTTTTTTTTTGTCTAACGAACCGATATGTCTACAGCTAGAATCGTATCTTAATTATATGCCGGCTATGATGCACAGTACAGACTTCAGAACGTGCATTTATGTTCTAAGGCAATACCTTAATCATTTAAAAAGGAAATTACCACTGTAATAATTATTATTCAATTTTCTTCCTCGCACGCGATATAGATATAATTTCTAAGAGTGAAATTAGTCTCCAGTTGAATCAGTATTGAACAGAAGTTCAGCTAAAAACCTAATCCGAGTTCATTTATATGAAAAATTGAAAGCAAATCCCAATTGAATGAATGAGTTTCTCCTTAAAAAACATGTTTAACAAATATCCACAAAATTATTGTAGTTGTGACGGTGAGGGCAAAAATAGACACTGCACAGCTTCTTACAGAGAATTCGTTTAAAGTCACAGAATATTTCCGAACTAGAATCTCAAATGGTATTTACTGCGCTTATCCCCTGCATCGTTCATGCATAAATTCATCGGTAACAGATCAGTTCGGCGTTCGTGTGCCTCGAACGAGGCGACAAGGATGAGAAGCATCGCTTACCAGAGACGTCTGTTACACGTCGCCAACGGCTCCGCCTGCTGATTTTTTAGAGACTAAGACAACAGGAAAGAAGTTTTCTCGAGGCTCTAAAAGTTGCGGCCGCCAGATAATTGCTTTAAAGAAGCCCTTGAGAGTCAAGATCCTACTTTTAATTAATCTATTCACTTGCGAAGCGAAAAATGCGTGATACTTTTTATTGGAATTCCTGTGAAGTTTCGTTTCGTAACTGATCGGCGAGCGTCCTTAATTGGAGAGGCCACAACCAGGTCAGAGATTTGGCTGTTCATCTTCAAGCTTGTGGCTTTCTTTGGCCGCTAACTTATAGTATTTGATATTTGCCATTTTATTCATGAATAAATAAAATTGGTTTAGAATAATCATCGGTAATAACTCAATAAGAAAATATTTAGCATATTTTTATCTATAACTTTCAATAAATATGAATAACAAATCATAACATATTAATAGAATCTTTCCAAATCGGATGAATACTTATCGTTCGGGGGTCATTAATAGGCTGCATTTATACTGAGAATTTCGATTCCTACTCATTAATCAATAGTAAAAATCTTTAACATATATTCATTCTTGAATGTCACGCTTTTCTCCGGTACACTTCCTCCATTCGAACCCTTCTTTCCTTTGCGTCCAGATCAACTAACAAATTTATTCGCGTACAAACGAACGTGTACCATATAACTGTACGTGTTTCAGCGTACATGAATATATTCGTCTCGTATGATCGGAAAATATTAATTGAAAGAATATAAGCGCCTCCTTATAATTAGCGCCAACAATAATTATCGTACATCACTCCTCAGTTTTAGTGATATACTGTTAAAGCCTTAGATGAAATTAATCCTGAATTAATTCTAAATTATCCATTACTAATTTATTATAATTCAATATTTGAAAAAAATGTACGCCTTTAAATATGTCCTTAAAAATTGACGACCAGGTACGAAGTAAATTTTCTCTTCCAAGATGGCCAGAACCCAGCTGGATTTTCTCCAAGCTAAGCACCATCAATAAAAAAAATGGCGAGGAAGCGTCAATTATTGAGAAGGCATAGAAAGTTTCTATTATTTTATAAGTCACGATAGAACCAAACCTGGTTGCAGGCGAATGAATTTATTCGTGGCAACCATCGGCTGCCTAAAAAAGAATATCTTGTTGACCTCGAACGCTAGAGGCATTTCACTTTTTTGCGCAGTAGTGACGTCACCAAACGCTTGATACTTTTTTCACAAATGTCAAGATTAATGTGCAGGACTAAATTCGTTCGCAAGACCATTTCGTTTTAAAATTTAGAAAATTCACTCACTATTTACACGAGTTTTGTTTAACCAACAGATCAACAATGGTTCGAGTGATGTCAAATAGTAAATAACAAATGTCTTTAAAAATGAGCTTGGTGATAAGTCAGGCGACTGGAAATATGTGTTGATTTGATCGAAGAAATTATATACTTTTTATGATTCATACTATCTGCTTGTTGTTCAGTTTCAGCAATGGATTTATGTCCACTTCTTTACTCCTCAAATTTACTCTTAAATTCAGAAAAAAATATTTAAACTTAGGTCTGATTAAATTAAGCTTCAAATGTTTAATTTAATCATAAAAAGAAGGTTTCGAAAATCCGGTAAAATTTATCCCTCAACCAAAATCATTGATATCCAAAGACGAGTCGCACAAATTATTGATTTTTATTATAAGAGTAGCGCGATGACGAAATCGACGGCCGAACGTTTGAGATGGAGACAGCGGCTGTTGATCGTCGCCCAAATGACGTCCTAAATTGGCTGGATGACAGCACGATCGCCTGCCGTCCTCTATTGTGACAGCATCGACCACACAGCCTCATCGGTCTCCCGGAGCTACCAACGCAAATTGATGAGTGTTCTCGATTAATTCATTGGTTTCTTAACGAAATACGCATCCTATAACATCGCTCGTTACGCATCTGACTCTCCTGTCGCTGATAGCTCCACAGTATTATACGTGTCTCTTGATATAAATATCAGCTACCGTCTCATTATCAGCACTTCAGAAATATTATCACTGTGTTCTAATTCACGAATAACAAAACTTATTGCAAACCACAGCTAAAACAATCATGGAAATAGACCGTCGGGCAGCTGAATTCCTCAAGGCCGTTTAAATATAAATAAAAGCGTGTAGGTCCCAGGTCATGACACGTGACAACGCCAAGGACCCTTGGAGTTAATTTATTCCTTTGCCCTTTTCCATCATAATTGCGTTGTCTGCTGCTGCGTGCAATAGAACAATTCTTCCAATAAACCTCACAAATAACTTGCTGATGCTTTGCTACTCAAGAGACATACACCCTCAGTTGCTGACTCTTCTCCTTTTTTGTGTGCGTGGAGCAGCTTCTACATTCTCTACCTTATCAGAAAACTTTTTTTCCTCATCAGTATTGCTCCTACTGAGTAACGTTGAATTGGAGGCTTTTAGTACCTATATCTTTAAACGCGAGAGAAGTCAAGATATGCCTACTTCGGCGTGCCATGTAGGAAATTGATATTAGAGACACAAGTACATCTCTAAAATTTATGAATTATTTCTTTCATGCATGAGTCCATAATTTATCGTAATATGAAGTGATTGATTTTCCAGTTACGTGCAGATTTTTACGTGCACTATCATTGATGACTTTCATAATACTAATTTTCAAAGGTCGCAACAATGGGAGAACACACTGCAAATCATCAGCCCGCAGAATGACACTTATTAACTACACTATTGCCATTTATTAATAACAACATTCACGTGCACTGCCAAGCTCGCCCCCAGCAAACGCCGGTTTGAAACTCCCAGGTGAGTCAGTCCATCAAACGGTTGGTTGCCATTCAATTTTTGGATCGTATTCTCAAGCCACATTTGATAATTTTCTCTAGTTATTGACTCATTTATTCGATTTTTATAACGTTCTAAAATAAAAAATAGCACCTTAATATTGCGAATCAGCGCATAATCTGCAGTTCCGGGACAATGTGCAAAATTTATTGCCTGTTGTAGATTTTTTATACCGAAATTTTGTGCGAGAGCCTTTGTTATCATCTGTCCCTATTATTTTATCAACTGCATTTTTTATAAAATTTTCGTTAACATTCTGAAGCTTCAGTGCCGAAGAGCTCGAAATTCTGAGTAATGTTTCAAAAATTGAGGCTATGAAACAGCTTCAGAATTGAAAGAAAATGTGAACTTCACTGTAAAAGTAAGCCACCGTCATCAAAGGATCGCTCATATCATGTTTTTTTGGATGCCTTTGAAAACAAGGGCCTACAGAACCCGAATATATTGGAATACTTGAGCAATACTGAATACATGAAATGACCAGGCCCACGATGCTAAAACAACGCTGACCTGAAATGACCAAACAGTCGAAAACATTTAATCTTCTTAGTATATAAAAGAATATCGATCTTATGCAGACAGTAAGATTGCATATACACAATTTCACAGCAAACCTTGAGAGCTTTCTTCTTCAGTAACTTCAATGTGACTGAAGTCCACGTGATATATGGAGCAAAAGCTGCGAATGTTTGCTGTGAGGCGGCGCCTCACGTTTGATGAGAACCTCTTCTGAGACGCCTGCTGGATGGAGTCTCACTATGAGATTTATTTGAAAAGGCATCGTTTGAAGTGACTTGGTGGTTTGGGGTGCTTACTTCAAAGACTAAAATATGATTGCCTTGCGTATGTTCACAGATCGAACTTAGGCTGCGAGTGCCAGGTCCTTGGAAATTTAGAACTAAAATACAGAAGAGCCGAGCCTTGATCTTGATCCAAATAACGATTTATGCATATGGCATAAATGCTATTAAATGCCGTGAATTAGTAATATTTTCTTGAATTGCGCGCGATGAGAATTTTCAATTTTGAGCAAATGCTCGGCCATTGATGCCGAACTTTTGAGATTGAACAGAGTGCAAAAAAATAAATCCGTCATTCAGGGAACGTTTCAGGCCAAACGAGTGATTAAAATTTCGATCTTACAAGCATT